ATTGTTCCCGGGCATAGGCCTGGAAGCTTCTAGCCCCCATAAAATCTAATCATTTGAAAACCCCAACAATGAAGGTTTCAGGTTCCAGACTCCATCCGTTAATCTAGGCTTAGAATATTTCAGCCTCTGAGATTTACTGCTGAATAAACTCTTTCTAGTTCTTTCTGAACTCTTGCTGGATGGTTAAACTAAGCTGGTCTGGCCAAAACGCCTCTCCAAGCTGACTCATTCAAACTGGATTCTCTCTGGGCATCTGACTAACTTGCTCTGTTTGACTTCAAACTAAATCTGGTAGTATGTTCTAATTTCTTGGCCCCTTCTCATTCTCTGCCTTATTCTCTCTACAATCTGTCTCTATAAAATTGTCCAGGGAAAGCTATCACACATACTTTTCTCTTCCTCCTATTACCGCTACTATCCTCCCTTCTCTCCCCACACTGCTCTTAAGTAGCCTATTTCACTGTTCTGTTCTTTAAAGAGTTGGGTGTATCCTATCTCTGACTCATTCTGTCAAATCTGTCTCTGATTCATTGCTCTGTCTGCTCCTCATCAGTCATCACTTTCAAACCCTGATGCTTCCTTCTATAAACAAATCTTACTTTCATTGTTTAAGATTAATGGTATGTTCTAAGAGCATGCCTGTATTCTAGCCAGATCACAAAGACCTAGGAAGTCTTTAAATGTGATTCCTTGACAGATTAGCCATGTTGCTGGGTTAAAATTCCTCTACGTGATTAGGTAAAACAGACTGAAGCCTGTCTTTTCTTGTTTAGTAGATGTTAGTATATAGGGCCCACACTGCTATAAAATATAGAAGAACTTTAAAACAAACCAGAGATGTGCTCATTCTCTATTATCTATTATTGCTTAAAGAAAAAAAGAGGCCCTTTCTTTTCCCGAGTATCACCTAATTTTCACCTTTGTATTTCACTGAATATCGGTTTGTTTGTGAGTGGAAAATAGAAAGCAAATAGATGAAATATGGGACATTACAATTAAAGATCCAGACAAGAGGAAACCCACAGAGAGACCTAACATTTCCTAATGGTGTTATATTATAGACAATAAAAGAGGTCTGGGTTCACATCAACTTTCCATTTGTACCTATTACCTGCGTAACAGTCAAAATGGCAATGCTATGATACAAGGACACAGTCTTTCTCAGCAGAGCACAGATGCATACAAAGAAGTCACATATAGGCTGTGTTTGATGTAAGGCATGGATCACATTGGAAAATAATCTTAGTCTTGCTTTACTGGAAGCTTGCACTTATATTTCTACTTAGAATCCATCCAATATAATAGTAAATTTTTACACATGAGTAGCACAAGCTAGCCTTCCAGCTGGAATTATCACTTGTTAACATAAATAATGTAAACAAATCCAGAATTCAATGTCTTAACTGTTTAGCACTTCTAATAACATTGTCTTCCCTTTAAATAATTCCAAAAAAAGCAAACACTGTCTATTTATATCTCAAGAAAAATAGAGGTTGGCGATCTGAAACCATATGGCAAGAAGACAGAGCAAGGCTCACAAGCTGTCTGCTTTCCTCTACACACTGTGTGAATGTACCTACACACACGTGCACAAACACAGACATACACACATGCGTAAACACACGTTAAATAAATGTGAAACAAATGAACATTTGTAAAGTCATAGAAGCAGGACAACAGTTATGAAGACTCATTATATTCCACCACCATGTTAAGGCTAATTAACATGTAGCCTTACCAAGTTCTTATTCCCTGCTTCCTCAGAGGACTGTGGTTTATACTGGGTATGTCTATGCTGATGGAGGACTCACAGTATGAAAGTTAAATGATCTCTTAGAGAAAATACATGTTTACTTCCACAAAACCATGGTTTAATGTTTGTCATTCATCGGGATGTATGCGACTACAAAATAATCTTAATGATAAATAGTCAGCATGGAAGCTGGAGAGATTGCTCAGCAGTTAAGAGCACACACTGTACTTTTGGAGAACCAAGTTTAGCTCCAAGCACTCAAGTCAGGAAGCTCTCAATTGCTTGTATTTCATGCTTCACACCCTTTTCTGAACTCTGCAAGCATCCGCATATATATGCATATTCAGACACAAACACACACCCACATTCACACACACACACACACACACACACACACACACAGGAACATAAAATAAATTCTTAAAAAAATAGCCAGTGTTATTTGTTTTAAAAAAATGTCAGTTTTAACTGACTTCTCTGTCACAAAAATATAACAATGAAAAAATATAATGATAAAAATTGTTAACATTGGTCATGATTTTTATTTATCCTTTTAATAAGGAAAATGTAAAGTAAGCATGTTTGAGCAATTTTTCCCTATTGCTGATTCACAGTGCAATGCAGGAAGTCACATGACATAGTGTAGCCCATTCAACAAACAACAGTGCTGGGAAGAGAGTGAGTTTTCAGAGACTGCATGAGAGTAAATACACACAGCAAGGCATAACATGTACCACTAAAAGAATATCACGAATGGAAGGAGAAGACACATATATGAAATTAGATTCAGGAAAAAATATGTGCCATGAATATTAATACTAACATTAAGAAAATAATTTATAATAATTAAATGTATCTAGCATAACAGTGTTATGCTTAAGTCAAGAAGTTAATTTGAAAAAAATAAGACAAACGCAAACAGAAATTAATCAGTTTAAATTATTTGAGACAAGCCTATCTGTGAGAAAAAAAAAAAAGTAAGTTTTTCTTTAACTTAGAATTCATCTTCTTTACTTTTCAGGATAGGAAAGCAAGGTGAAAAACAGTAGACAGAAAGTTTCTTTCCCTGGTAAAAGTCATGATATCTTGACTTATACAGACTGGAATTCAGCCTTTGGCTTGTATATCTCTTTCTGACATCAACCTTGGACCTCACTTCACCCTTCCTAATACCAGTGATTATCCATTTCAACACTTTTTGCCTTCCTGTTCCTTTAACTACCATGTAGCCTTACCATGGTCTCCTTCAATGTACACATTTTTAAAGATGTAATTGTTTCTCAGGAAAACTTCAACAATATTATATAGAGAGGAATTAATAAAGTGAAAATAAAATTAAGATAACAAATACCAATGCACTCTTTAGAGGTCTTTAAATGGCCCTTTCCACTGTGATCCTAAATAATGGTAAATGTTATTATGCTTTCACCCATTTAAATCCTACCAGATACTGGAAAAGATTATACTTTTCTTCATAAAAGCAAATATCTAAGCAGAAGTAGCATTGTTATCATTAGCTGTTTTATGCCTGCTGTGATAATGACTGTGAAGGTCTATCCTAATTAAGTTAATTAACATGGAAAGACCCAAGTCTCTATTTGTGCCTCCATTCCCTAAGGAGGAACTCCTGAACTGTGTAAGATGGATAAATATTTCCTACTCACATTCTGCTGTCAAGGGAAATTGCACAAGGTTGCACCCCTAGATGAAGACAGCTACAGGCATTTAATGGCTATGGAGAGAGAAAACCAGCCTCCAGGGACTAACCACCTGACAGATTTTTCTGATCACAAGCAGTCATCCTATATTGCACATATGAGCAACACTAAGTAAACTCAGGAGGCTGTGTTTAAGAAGATAATTTGAACACAGGAAACTTCCCAGAGACTCATACTCCAACCAAGGACTATTTGTGGAGATGACCTGGAACCCCTGCACAGGTGTAGCCCATGGCAGTTCAGTGTCCAAGTGGGTTCCATAGTAATGGGAAGAGGGACTGCCTCTGACATAATCTGATTGGCCTGCTCGTTGATCACTTCCCCCTGAGGGGGGAGCAGCCTTACCAGGCCACAGTAGAGGACAATGCAGCCACTTTTGATGAGAACTGATAGACTAAGATCAGAAAGAAGGAGAGGAGGACCTCCCCTATCAGTGGACTTGGGGAGTGGCATGCATGCAGAAAGGGGAGGGAGGGTGGGATCGGCAGGGGAGGAGGGAGGGGCTCATGGGGGGATACAAAATGAATAAAGTGTAATTAATAAAAAAAAATAAAAGATTTAAAAAAAAATAAAAAAAATAAAAAAAGAATGTATGTATGTATGTATAGACATGTATATATACATATATATGTGTGTATATATACACACATACATATATACATATGTATATAACATATATATGTGTGTGTATGTATACATATATGTATGTTAATTAAAGACTACAAGTCATAAAAGAATAAGGAAGCCAAGCTAAGCACTAGAAAGAAGTAAATGAGCAGGCATTCACTCTCTGTGTCACTAGTTATATGGTGTGAGCAGATGTCTTATGCACCCACTGTCTTGATGGACTGTAACATGGAATTGTGAACTGAAGTAAGCCCCTTTCTTTAAGTTGATTGTTTTAAGGACATCTTAGCACAGCAAAAGAAATTAAACTACAACCGCCATCAAATGAGGAAATGTATTACAAACTCTAGTTTGGTAACAAAAAATTTGTGTATTTTCTCGAGTATTTTCTTTACCTACTATGTTCACATCTGAAGTTACATGAGTTTGTCACACAAATGCATGCATGCATAAAAACACACCGGCTTATCTCAGATAGGCAGGTGTAGGTAGTTTCAAATGCTTACCTATCATAATTGTATTACAGCCAAAGAAATTTGGCAACACTGTGTCTATTCTAGTGTTCAGGATGATCGTTGAAATGATCCGCAGACGTAGATAAGGTAGGATTTTATTTTTGCAACTAGAAACAATAAGGCTAGTAAGCACATGCTGTCCACAGAGAGGAATTTAAAGAATTACTTATTTAATTGATCCTTAATTTAAGTGATTAATCCCTATACTGAATTGCTTAAGATGCTATGTGATTCTCATATTGTTGACAGTCTTAGACTGTGGCTTCGCAAAGAAAGAAAGTAGCAGTTAACTTGCTGCAAATCAGAAAAGACCATTGCACAGAAGCGTGAGTGGAAACACAAAAATTCTGATGAGATTAGTAGGAAAGGGGAGCAACAAGCCTTTACCTCACAGGGCTGTTGGAAGAATCTGGGTCATGAGCTGCTACAGTGCCAATGATATGCCCCACCTGGGTAGCTTCAGACACCTCCATGGGGTACAAGGGTGAGGAGAACACAGGGGGTTCATCCACATCTTCCACAATTATCTTCACGGTGGTTGTGTCACTGAATGGACCCAAGCTTAGAAAGCGGGGGTCAGCATCTCGATTGGCAGCTTCTATGCGCAGAGTATAGCTTGTTTTGGCTTCAAAATCGAGTTCCTGTAAAGAAAGTCGTTAGAAAAATTAGATTGCCAATTAGATAATCAGCACAGCCCAGCCTTTTCATTTATGAATATCGATAACCACAGAGGAGACTGCTATGAAAATGCGCCATCAGCATTCAAACACAATAAACATCTATGCCAATCCGAGTGCGTCTTAGCTTTCTGGAGAAGACGATGTGCAAGTGACCTAACTTAATCCATTTTATTGCCAAGCATTGTTCAGAGAAGCCCAAGTCCTCACAACATTATCTGAAACAATACGTACTGATTTAAAAATATTTTCCAGCAGGGCATTTGGCTAATATTCTTGAATCATTTAATACATTAAAACGGAAGAAAAGTGCTGTGCCCACTCAATCTCTCATTTAAAAGATCATTGGTTTAGGGGTCTACCCTCATATTCTGAGTACTCAGGTGCTCTAAATGTTGACATAACTGGCAGTAGAAATGGATTGATGGTGCTCAGAATCACACTACAGCTTTCTACTTTCTATGAAGCACTCACTGTTGCTGCTTTCTCTAACAGTCTATTGTTAAGACAATTGCTCTCTATTTAGATGACTGATACTTATTTTGCAGAATGTTTAATTTGTATGAGATTTTATAAGAGGACTAATGATGTTAAAGTGCTATTCAAAGGCAGTCACTGGAAGCTTCAACAGATTACAAAAATTAAATACTTCACAAAAAAACACCATCTGTGCAAAATAAGAACTATATATATGGTGTGTGGATGCTTGGAATGATAACATGTGGACAAAGACAGATTTTCTGAGCTTCTGTTCTCAATATCACCACTGAAAAATGTTCCTGAATTCTCTACATTTAATTACACAAACCAGAAAGAATTTATAGTAATAAATAACATGATAGAAATCCAACTAATTCCAAGGGATATTTTGCTCAGTATAAGTATCTAAAAAAGAAAACCATTGAAAATATAGTACTGACAGTTGGAATGCAAATTTTTCTACTATGCTTACACGCATATGTATGCACATATGTGGGTATGCAGATATTCCAAGTCATCTCCAAAAGGTGTAGAATCAACTAAAATGTATTTAAAATAATTTATATAATATAATCTAGAATAATATGTATCATATTTAAAACATATACTATATTATACATACTATATAAATACATATATATATACTATGAATACATATTTATATATATAAAATACATAACAGTTATATAATATCTATATTGTATATAAAATATATATGTATATTATATATTATACATTTATATTGATATATTTACATATCGTTTACATAATAATATGTTTATATAATATTATTACATTATAATATATAATAACATATAATAATACAATAATATTCATTGGCACAGGAGACAACTTCCTGAACAGAACACCAACAGCACAGGCTCTAAGATCAACAATCAATAAATGGGACCTCATGAAACTGAAAATCTTCTGTAAAGCAAAGGACACTCTTATCAGACAGCCTACAGACTGGGAAAGGATCTTCACCAACCCTATACCTGAGAGAGGGCTAATATCCAGGATACATAAAGAACTCAAGAAGTTAAAAAGCAACAAATCAAGTAATCCAATTAAAAAATGGGGTACAGTGCTAAACAGAGAATTCTCAACAGGGGAATATCGACTGGCAGAGAAACACTTAAAGAAATGTTCAGTGTTCTTAGTCATCAGGGAAATGCGAAGCAAAATGACCCTGACATTTCGCCTTACACCCATCAGAATGGCTAAGATCAAATCACCTCCCCCTGAGGGCGGTGCAGCCTTACCAGCCTACAGAGGAAGACAATGCAGCCAGTCCCAGTGAGAACTAGGCTAAGGACCTCCCCAATCATTGGACACGGGAGGAGATGAGGGAGGGAAGGTGGGATTGGGAAAGAATGGGAAAGAGATGAGGGAGCGTTTACAGCAGGGCTACAAAGTGAATAAACTGTAATTGATATAAAAATTAAAATTAAAAAAGATATATAAAAAATCAAGTTAACAATACATGCTGGAGAGGATGTGGAGAAAAGGGAACCCTCCTCCATTGCTGGTGGGAATGTAAACTTCTACAACCACTTTGGAAATCAATCTGGCACTTTCTCAGACAATTAGGAATAGTGTTACCTCAAGATCCAGCTATACCACTCTTAAGCATATATCCAAAATATGCTCAAGTATACAACAAGGACATTTGTTCAACCATGTTTGTAGCAGCTTTATTCATAAAAGCCAGAACCTAGAAACAACCTAGATGTCTTTCAACTGAGGAATGGATACAGCAATTGTGGTACATTTACACAATGATATACTACCCAGCAATTAAAAACAAGGAAATCATGAAATTTGCAGGCAAATGGTGGGATCTAGAAAAGATCATCCTGAGTGAGGTATACTAGAAACAGAAAGACACACATGGTATATACTCACTTATAAGTGGATATTATATGTATAATATAGGATAATTATACTAAAATCTGTATACCTATGGAAGCTAAAAAAGAAGGATCCTGAGTAAGATGCTCAGTCTTCGTTCAGAAAGACAAACAGGATAGACCTCAGAAGACAGATAAAACAGGGAACAGAACAGGAACATTCCACAGGGCCTCTGTAAGACTCTAACCAGCAGGGACTTAAAGCAGATGCTGAGACTCCTAGCCAAACTTTGAGCAGAATGCAGGAATCTTATGAAAGAAGGGTGAGATAGAAAAACCTGGAGGGGACAGGAGCTCCACAAGGAGAACAACAGAACCAAAAAATCTGGTCACAAGGGTCTTTTCTGACTGATAGTCCAACCAAGAAACAAACGCATGGAAATAACCTAGAACCCCTGCATGGATGTAGCCCACAGCAACTCAGTGTCCAAGTGGGTACCCTAGTAAGGGGAACAGGGCTGTCTCTGACATGAACTCAGTGGCAGGCTCTTTGGTCACCTCTCCCTCAGGGTGGTGCAGCTTTACCAGGTCACAGAGGAAGATATGCAGCCAGTCCTGATAAAACCTGATAAGCTAGGGTCAGATGGAAGGGGAGGAAGACCTCCCCTATCAGTGGACTAGGGAAGGGGCATGGGAGGAGAAATGGAAGGAAGAGTGGGATTGGGAGGGTAAGAAGAAGGGGGCTACAGTTGAGATACAAAGTGAATAAATTATAATAAATAAAAAATTTAAAAAATAGAAAAATATTTATGTATATTATGTATTATGCCTTTATATTATATTGTATGTAATATAATATATACTTAATATAATATATAATTAATATTATTATATTATAATATATAATAATACAATATTATATGTAAAATATATGTAATATATAATATATACAATATTATAGTACCTGTAAAATATATTTTATATAAACTCCAGCACTATAATACACATATACATAACAAATATACACACACAATACAACATTTAGTACATAATGAGATCCTGCTGCTAATCTTTGGATAATCAAAGATAAATACATAAATTGATACATGAAATTGGCTTCAATACCTAACCTAGACAAATTTCACTGGCATTCCCATATAAGCTATGTCTAATGTACTAGTTGCTACACAGATTGTTTGGTTATTCTTATTCTCAGAACTCATTTTTATTTAAATTAAGAGAATAAGCTCAATAAGTTCTCACTTCATTGTAGCAAAAATGTCACATTAAAGCACTGATCTTTTAGACAAACTACCTAAAAACTGAACTATATCTTTTACCGAGATGATCCTGATAGCCCAAGTAAGTAACAGTGAAAAAAAAAATACAGTGACATATATTCTGTTCTTGATCACAAACAAACAAAGCAGAACAAAATTAACTTTGTCAATGGCTCCGTGGAGGATAATTAAAAGTGTAAATTATATCTGATGTTTCATACAAAAGTGTGAGCCAGGGATGAGAAGTAACACAGCTATCATCTTGTTAGAAATTCTGAAGTTCTTCAATGAGAACATTTTGAGTTTAAGTTTCTTATTACTGTTTTATTTAGTGTACACTATATGCATGGTTCCAAGATCATGCCAGGGTATGCTTGTAGACATAGGGAACAACTCTGTGGAGATAGCTATTTCCACCCACTTTTACTTGGGATCCCAGAATAGACCCAGTATGCCATGTTTGCATGAATGCACTCTTTCCTACTGAGCCATCTCCCCCAACCCTGTTTGCTTATTATTTAAGAGTATGAAGAGTCTGAGACTCAGAGCTTTTCAGCTCTTTCTATGAGGAATCAATTTTTAATACTCACAATATGGACAAGCATGTGTATTTTTAAGAGTTTCATCAGGTAATACTGACACAAATCTTCATTTAGAAATTCCACAGTGGTGGTGAAATCTTCCTGGGCTTGCACTTAAATTCCAATTCTTGTTAATGAGGGCTCTAAGAAGAAAGTAGAGAATCCTTTCTCTATTCACCTGAAAGGATTTTCCAACTTTGGAACACTATAAACACTTTGTATTTAACCTTGTTTTTTGTCTTATGTTACTTATAAGAATGCAAATCAAAAGAGAAAAGTTGTTATGCAATATTCTGTCTATATTAAACAGGTCAGGTTAAGGTTCCAACTGCCATCTCTTTGCAAACTAACAAAAACACTAAACTATGTCAATCAGGCTTTCAATTTTACCAATAGGTATAACAAGATACTTCTGTATTCACGTAAAATTTTGTCTCACTTACAAAGGAATAACTTAAAATTTATAACAAATGTGAATGTGCCTATTTTGTAGTAATATGTTTTAAATATGTCTGGAAGGCAGAAACATGAAATATAGAATCTAGATGTTACAAATTTGTATGAATACAGCAGTACATATGAAGTTAATCTGTCCAGAAGCGTTACAAAAATAGAATAATCAAAAAATTATATGAAATGATAAACCAAGATTCAAAGACATTGTTACGTAAAAATTAGTTGCAGAGCTTGTTACAATAAGCCATGACTCCATTTTTAAAAGGGAAGTGATATCATTAATAGTATTAAGTAACAACTTGAATATATTTTTA